TGGCAGATACCTTCTGCTCCAGGGCACAATCCATGGAATAGATGTTACCATAATGTCTTATTACGCTCCTAACGTCAACCCTGGACCTTTTCTGTCACATCTATGTTCTCTCCTGGCCACACATCAAAGGGGTACGCTTCTGATGGCGGGGGATTCAAATTTAGTGTTAAACCCTGCACTAGATAAATATCCGACAGAACGCTCTGACCCTTCCACTTCAGCGAAGTCCTTTGTACGGACGTTAACTACCCATGATCTGGTAGATTTATGGCGTGAATTTCATCCTCAGGGGAAAGACTACACTTATTATTCACACCCTCACCATTCTCATTCTAGAATTGATCATGCCTTCGTTTCACGTAAACATCTCCTTCTGGTTCATTCTATCTCTATCCCTACAGTCCCATGGTCAGACCATGAGCCTAGTTTGGTAGTCTGTCAATCTCTCCTATGCAGGCCGACCTCTTCATGGATAATGAATGATTCCTTGTTTTCACTGAAGGAGATTCAGACGGAGCTACATCGTAAATCTCAGGAATATTTTCAATTAAACTCAGGTTCTGTCTCTTCTTCAGTAACATTGTGGGAAGCGTACAAGGCAGTTCTTAGGGGGCATATTATCCATATAGCTTCAAGGCGAAAGAAGGAAAGACAGCTTAAGCAATGTCAGTTAGAATCGAAGTTAACTTCTGCGTCAGCCCAGTTTAAACAGTCACCTTCCCCGTCAAATCGTAGACTGTTGGATCAGGCTCGCTTAGAATTGGATCTGTGTTTAACAGATGAGGCTGAGCGCTCCTTGCGTTGGACTCGCCAGAAGTGGTATAGCAAAGCTAACAAACCAGACTCTATGTTGGCCCGTAGATTGTGTTCTTTTGCGCAACACCCCAAACCGATATCTTTATGTACTCGTCACAATACCCTTACGAGCAACCCAGTAACGGTTTTAGAGGAGTTCCGGCACAGACTAGCTAAACTTTACTCTGATCCCACCCGGGCTGACCCTCAGTCTATTTCTGACTTCTTATCTAGTTTGTCATTACCTACTTTAACGTCGGCCCATAAGGATCTGAAGGATCGAAATATCCAAGTATCTGAGGTTTTGCAATGTATAGCAGAACTGAAAACAGGCAAATGCCCAGGTCCTGATGGATACACGGCACTATATTATAAGAAATTGGCTGATGTGCTCGCTCCCCACCTTGCTGCTATGTTTAATGCGGTGAAGGGAGGTTCGAATTTTTCCCCGGACTCTTTAACTGCTAATGTGGTTATGATCCCTAAACCGGATCGAGATCATTCTTCCTGGGCTAATTATAGGCCTATCTCTCTTATCAATATCGATATGAAGATTCTTACTAAGATTTTGGCTACTCGATTGAATTCCTTCCTTTCTCGTCTGATTAAAAAGGATCAGGTGGGATTTGTTCCCCATAGGCAGGCCGGAGATGCTATCAGACGTATTTTACAATTGCAACATTTGGCCCATACTCGTAAAATTGATATGATGCTCTTATCCTTAGACATCAACAAGGCTTTTGACACTTTATCCTGGCCGTATCTCCTGTCGGTCCTCCATCGTTTTGGCTTCGGCCCTTCCTTCTTACGATGGATCTCTTCGCTATATACATCCCCTCAAGCGAAGCTTAGATACTACGGATTTGAGTCTTCTACGTTCTTGGTTGCTAGAGGTACTAGACAGGGCTGCCCGCTTTCCCCTTTACTTTTTATCTTAGCCCTGGAACCGTTGGCAGAAGCAATCCGTATACATCCTGATATTAAGGGAATTGATGTGGCAGGCTCCCAACATAAATTGTTTGCGGATGACATATTATTGTCAATCTCAAATCCGGGGGTTACTTTGCCTAATTTGCTCGCAGTTCTCGATTCCTTTGCCACCCTCTCAGGTTTACATGTCAATCCAGCTAAATCAAGAGCTATGTCAGTTACCCTCCCACCACCACTTTTGACTACTTTGAAGCAAACGTTCCCCTTCCAATGGCTTTCGGCCTTACCATATCTAGGAATTAAGCTTACCCCGACATATGATGGACTGTATCAGGCTAACTTTCCCACTGTTTTTCATGAGTTGACTGAGCTCTTGTCCTCTTGGTCTCATTTCCCGTTATCATGGTTCGGCAGAATTAATGCAATCCGTATGACCTATCTTCCTAAACTACTATACCTATTTCGTGTTCTGCCAGTTTCAGTACCTTCGCATATATTGCGTATACATCAGCGAAAACTTTTGTCCTTTATTTGGGGCTCCTCTCGACCTAGAATTAGCAAGCATATTTTATTTGCGCGGTGGAATGCGGGCGAGTTATCTGTTCCAAATCTCCAGTCCTACTATTTGGTGGCTAACATTGCCCCTTTAGCTCATATTCATGCTTCTCACCATTTCCCCCTGTGGGCTGTAGTAGATATGATGGACTCTCACCCATACCGCTCCCCTCCTTGCCCTGACTCCCTAATTCTCAGCGTCCATCTAACCTTAGCCCAACGCTGACACTTTCGCTTTGTCTTTGGGATTCTGTAAAATACTCCGCTGGCCTTATCTTTCCTCATCTGCCTCTGATACGTCTATTGCATAACCCATTATTCCCTCCGGGTAAGGATAACCCTAGACAGTTTGTCTGGTGTAGACACATGGTTTTTATGATGTTCATTCACTCCTATCCCCCACCAGAATAATTACCTTTGACACTTTGCGTTCTTCTTAAAACATTCCCCTCCGAGAACATTTTGGTTATCTTCAACTTCGTCACTTTATTCATACTCTAATACGTACACATCCAGGACCTTACCGTTTATCCCCTTTTGAAAGCCAGTGTAGACATAGACCTCATGCTCCAGGTCTGATCGCCCTGATTTATTCTTCCATTATGTCTTATAGAACCCCTCCGGTTCGTTCCTACCATCAGCGTTGGCAGTCGGAATTAGGGGGAACCCTGGATCAACAAGACTGGCAGCTCATGACCCAAACATTATCTAAGTGTTCCAGGAATGTCATTATTCTTGAGAATACCTACAAAATTCTATACCGATGGTATTATACGCCTGCCCGTCTAGCTAGTTTTATCCCTACCTATTCCCCGGTTTGTTTTCGGGGATGTCAACAATTGGGTACCATGGCACACATCTGGTGGACTTGCCCCAAGGTAAGCAGGTTGTGGATTAGGGTATATGCCCTCCTCCGCACTATTCTTCATACAGACATTAAGCGTAATCCATATGAAGCGCTTCTATTTAAACCACTTGAGGGCCTTCTCCGCTCTGAACGGCAGCTGGCATCACATTTATTTATGGCAACTAAATTGACGATTGCGAGGGCTTGGAAGACTCCTGTCCTTAGCTTTGAGGCTGTCAAAAATCGGATGAACTTCATAATGGTCAATGAAAAACTGACGGCCATATTGTTGGATACCCATACAAAATTTCTGCAGATATGGCGTCCCTGGCTGGATATAGCTCAGCCCTCGAGATTCGACCAGTCCCTTCTATCGATATGAGGATGGATTCTGCTGTGATCCCCCCGGAGCCCCTCCCTCTCCCTTTTTTTTTTTTTTTTTTTGTGTGTCTGTGTGTTGTCCGTGTCTCTCTACTATTTGTCTTTTTCTACTCTTCTGTTTACTCTGTCCTTAAACATAATTTACGGATTGTGCCTGCTGTTCTCTGCGCTGCATCCGCAATGCTATTTATGCAATCTAGATTTCTTTTTAAATTCTAGGTCATGAATATGTACTGTTTTCTGATGCGGCCTTTTCTCGGGCCTCTCCTGTTTTTTATAATGTTGATGTAGCAATACTTCCCTTTGGAGTTTACATTATCATTGACCCACAAAGGTCTGTTACCCGTTCCCTCCTCCCAACCTCCCTCCCCATCCCTTCCCACAGGGCACCTATGTAAACTTTTCAGATTTTGCCTTTATCGATGCATGCCTTGCACCAGCTTCCCTTCATTTATTGTAATGTGTAAATGTTGGTCATTGAATTTTTGCTTCGACTGTCTGTTCATCTTTGCTTATTATTCAATAAAGCTTTTTGTAAAAGAAAATATATCACCTGGCACCCCATAAATTGTATTGTGAAAAAATCTGCATAGAAACCAAATCTTAATCTACTCATATTTTTGTTTTGAGTTCCTAAAAGCTAAAATCACATTTCTAAAAACATTGTACACATTGTGCATAGAAGTCCTCCCTTAGATGCTTCCCATATACTAAACACCAACTTCTAATTGTACATAAGTACGATCAATTCTTTGATACAATATTGCTGAGTGGGTGTCCATCATGGGCAGGCAGTTGCTCAATTCCTCAACCACTCTTTCGTTTTTGCTCATTGGAATGTGGTGTTGATACCTGACTTTGTGGCAAGCCCTTCCCCCCTTTTATTTATTTTTTGCAAATCAGTCTTGTTTTTGGCTATATGCAGTGATGTTATATTAATTTTGCATATATACTTTTTTGAACAGAGCAGTTAGCTGTTACCTTGTCTTGCCCTCATGCCTACCCCTGGGCTGCATATGATGCACATGTCTAGCCAGACTTTTGTGCCATCCTTTGTTTGATGCTGGACTTTCCCAACTTGGTGAGTGTGATGCTATATTTATGGTTTACGCAAGTACAACAGTTGTATCATTTTTGTATTGTGATTTTTCGATCTATTTTTATTCTTGTAGCCCCCCTCCACTCCTGAAGAAATGGGCTATCCCCACGAAACATGTTGAGAAATTGAGCAACTGCCTGCCCATGATGGACACCTACTCAGTACCTACAGCAATACTGTATCAAAGAATTGAGCAGGCATATTTATGTACGATTATAAGTTGCTGTCATTTAGTGTATGGGAGGCATCGAAGGGAGGTCTTCTATGCACAATGTGTACAATGTTTTTAGAAATGTGATTTTATGGATTTATTGTTACAATAAAAATTATTTTTTTAATTGCCGTAGTTTTCACTCCATAAGACGCACCTGACCATAAGACGCGCCTAGGTTTTAGAGGAGAAAAACAAGAAAAAAAAATATTCTGAACCAATGGACTGCAGACATAGTACAGGAGATGACCAGAGACTGCGGACACAGTACAGGAGATGACCAGAGACTGCGGACACAGTACAGGAGATGACCAGAGACTGCAGACACCGTACAGGAGATGACCAGAGACTGCGGACACCGTACAGGAGATGACCAGAGACTGCGGACACCGTACAGGAGATGACCAGAGACTGCGGACACCGTACAGGAGATGACCAGAGACTGCGGACACAGTACAGGAGATGACCAGAGACTGCGGACACAGTACAGTAGATGACCAGAGACTGCGAACACAGTACAGGAGATGACCAGAGACTGCGGACACAGTACAGGAGATGACCAGAGACTGCGGACACAGTACAGGAGATGAGAAGCGCTGCACTTTGTGAATGTCTTTCAGGACACATAACAGGTCCCAGAAGATGCAATTCACAAAGCGCAGCGCTTCTCGCACATGCACAGTGGGCACCCAGCTGTCACAGCCGGGTGCCCAAACTAAAGATGCTGGCACGGGAAGACTGTGCAGCGCTGGACCAAGGAACAGGTAAGGTCCTGCTGCAGAGAAGAGCTGAGCAGCCGGCCCGGTATTCTGACACGGTGTCGATGGCGGAAATACCAGACTGGCTGCTCCATATTCGCTCCATAAGACGCATTGACATTTTCCCCCCTTTTTGGGGGGAAAAAAGTGCGTCTTATGGAGCGAAAAAATACAGTATTTTGTGTGTTGGCACCTTTAAAGTCCATCTTTATTTTCTCGAAATACTTAACAAGTCAATTGTCTTGTCAGTAGCTGCTTGTCTGCAATTACTGGTCAGGCAACTTTCAGTAAGAAAGCAGAGATTTCTAGGAGATGACATAAAGTAACTTGTGTTTCTTTTTAATAATGAGGGGAGTTTAGAAGTGGCAATAGCATAAAACACTAAGGCTATTGTCCAGAACATGCAGGGATCTACTGTTCGATGGCTGCAGGCACAAAACTGGGTAGATGGAATGATTAGCTGCAAAAGGTTTAAAAACTGAAGTTGAGAGACTGAAAATCCTTGCGCATCAGGTTGCTGCATATTTAGTGTTTATAATAAAGATATTGTAAATGAAAATGCTGAGCAGGAGAATGAGTGGCTTATTGAAGAGCTTGAATGATGTGCAGGTAGCTATAAGGGAGTTATGCTGCAAACATGCAGAGGCTGATCATTTAGCACAGATAGTCTCTCTAAAACTGCCATTAGGAAAGCAGAATGCTGTTGTTGCTGCAAGTAATGTTTCTATGGTTGCAGTAGGAGTATCCAGACAAAGGTATTGTAGCAGCTTCTGAAAGTGACTCCAACATGGAAGTGGAAAATGTCTGATCCTTTAGTTGAAAATATTAATGCTGTGGCAGTGGGTATATTGGATGAGTCCATTGTTAGTGTTTGCTCCTCAGACAATGACAGTGTGAAGTCTCATCATTTCAGCCATTGCAATCTTGTGTAGTAATATGGTCTCGGTCACCATGTGCTCAGAGAAGAAGGGCTTGTACAATAAGGCCAGCTCTCAGATGTTTTTTCATCAAAAGGCTGGAGCACATTGCAAGAAATTGTTTTGTGGTTGATAGTAACATGGAAAAAAAGCTCTCAGTACCTTAAACTGCACCAAGTTGCAGAGAGGTTTATTCTGCAAGGTAGTATAATGCTTTAAGGCATGTAGGCCATAATCACGAAAACCAGGTCTTTTAAAACCTAGATATCTAAGTTACAATCCAAAAATAGTCAGTTTAAGCAGTAAAGTAATCCATTTATAACACAGCTAAAAGAGCCTAAAATGAAGAGAGCTTCCTTTATGCAAGGATCCCTTACTGAAGTAGACAACTTTTGCTATTAGACCTTAGTGAATGGTATGTATTGTATGATTTTTCTGGTTAAAAATTCTAACGGTAAGGATTAAGGTGTAGATATTTTTCCGAGCGATTCGGCCTCAGTTACACGGAACATTCTAGAGAACCTTGATGCATTGGGTGTTTCAAGGATGAGCTTCTTGAGTTGTGTTTTTTCAGGTGGGCTAAAACTATACAAAATACAAAAATTTGGAATTTATTCCACCTAACTTTAAAAAGAGTCCACCTGAAAGGAAGTTGCCCCAGAATAACTGAATGACTGCAACTGAATGCATTTTTGTTTTTTGTGAGAGTTGCCATTATTGTGATAATGTCAAGGAGGGAGACTGATAGCTGCTTCTAGCTATCTATAAATGGGGAAAAAATTGTCAACATAGGGGTTGATTTACTAAAACTGGAGAGTGCATATTCTGGTGCAGATCTGCATAGAAACCAATCAGCTATCCAGCCTTTCTGGCGTGAGGTGATATGGTTTACTTCTATAATACAGGGCTCTACAGTGGACAATGCTGTTTCGTTGTATGACCGAACCAACCAGCTGATATAAGCGGTCTATTACCTCGCAATTACTGAATGTAGCCAAATTCCTCATATTCACAGTGCAAAAAATGGTCCCGTCTATTCTCCAATGGCTCTATAAGGTAGATGCTGTCTGTCTTGTGGATGGCACATCTCACAATTAACCAAGATATGGGCCTGTTGGTTCACATTTAAAACTACTCTTTAGTATTTAGACATTATCTCTTGCTGCCATACTTGGGAACAAAGCTGTCATTGACCCTAGTAGTGGGTCAAACCAAACTTCCTGTATATTTCAGTGTGTTTCTTAGTTAACCAGACAGATATGAGGGCTCTGTCATTTGGGATTTGTTTGCCCTCAAGATCTCTAAGAAATTACAATGCCCAAAAAGGAAAATATATCTATGGATTATATGTAAATAATAATAATAATAATAATATTATTTTACCCATAATAAGATATAGGTAAAAGTATGTATAACATCCAAATCAAGGTGACTGGAGATTTAAAATGTTGGTTGACCGCATATAGGCATAGGGCAAGAATGTATCGTGCACTGTGTCATGCACACAAGGGTAGTTGACATTATCAAGCTTCTTATTCAGTCTTTAGGTGGGCACTGACCTTAGGAGTTAGCATCCCGACTTAATAAAGTTTTGCCTAGATGTAATACTTTTGCTTACCCAAAATGGTGGGCAAATGCCTGAGTAGGCTGTATAAGTCTGGATTATAAAAATGATGCATCTTTCCTAATACCATTTACAGAGTCTTGTATCAGTTCCATGTATTCCATGATGCAAGTTGGTTTACTTACTGAAGTTTAGTTTCGACAAACATGACAATTTCTTGCTGTCAGTGGTTGCTAAGGAAGCAGTGGGTGACATATTGTCAGGGAGCGAGGAGCCAGACACACAAGGAGGTGCAATTAAAGGTGGGTTTATTAATATAAAAATAAGACAAGAGTCTATGCAAGTCCAACAGCGGAAATCGTAGCCAAAGCCGGGGTCAAGAGCCAGGAAGAATCGTAGCCAGAGCCGGGATCAGGAGCCAGGAAGAATTGTTGCCAGAGCCAGGATCAGGAGCCAGGAAGAATGGTCGCCAGAGCCGGGTCAGAAGCCAGGAGGAGTCTTAGCCAAAGCCGAGTCGGTATCCAGGAAAGCAATGAGTAGCTAAACAGAAGCTTGCTGTTGTGCAACAGACAGGACACGAATGCAATGGACAGCCACAAACAGCAGACTTATATGTGATAAGCCGCCACCTCCTGGGAGAGGAGCTGCAGAGGGCTGAAAGCATAAAGGATCCCACAATGCTTTGCAGACACCTAAGATGGATGCCAGCACATAGAGCAGCACAAGGTCTGAGGAAAGGTAGGACCTTGACACGTATTGGGCAATAATATTGACCAAATATGGCCATATTTTGGGTAATTCTGCCACCACTATCCTAGCCCCATCTGTTGTATTGCCAGCTTGCAAAATATAAAATATGTGGTTTCGTTGACTATGTACCACTTATTCACATTGAGGGGTGGCCCACTTACTGTTAAAGGGGACTTCTACGTTCCAATAAGCCCCCCCATCCACAGACCATGGGGCCAGGGTTGTGGGGAAGAGGCCCATCATCAATATGGAGATAAGATGTTTTGATATCATTTGGCCTGGTAGGGTTCAGGAGGTGAGGAAAGCATGCTTGTCCAGCCCCCTTTCCTGTCTTGCCAAGCTGCATCCTCCTATAGGGGTCTGATATGGAATTTTGCGGGAGGACCTCATACTTCTTTCATGTTTTCTGGATTGGGTTCAGCCTTAAAACGAACGCTTTTTTTTTTTTTTTTTTTTTGTGGAGTCCTCCTAGAGGTCTGTCCCACATCATTGTGGTTTGGCTTTTTTTTTGGGTGGGGGGGCTCCCATTAACATCTATACCAGGGTCTGATATAGATGAGGGCAATCGTCGGCCATGTAGAAAATGGAGCAGGTTGCTCTCTAACAACTCACCCCTCTCCCCACACCGTACTGGGCCACATGTCCTCGACATGGTCCCCCCCACCCAGCACCAGGCACCTGGTCTTCGTGTTGATGAGAACAAGGGCCTCTTCTCCGCAATCCTGGACCAGAGTTGTAGAGGTTTGTGGTTGGGGAGGGGGGCTTATCAGAATCTGGAAGCAATTGTTAATAACAGATACCGACCACCCCCCTCTGTGAATGAGTACTCATTTACAAAAAAAAAAATGTAAACATTAAAAAGCACACACAAACCTTTAATTAAGAAAAAATTGTACACTCTGTCTTGTCATTCAGCGATGTAGATCTACGTCAGTCATGATGCCTGACACCAGCTGTAAGAAAAAATAAATGCCAACCGCTGACACACACCTGTTGCCGTTGCTTCCCTCAACCCAATGGCTGCTCTGGTGGGTGACAGCTGATATAAACAAAGGGGTGGGGTCACCCAGGTGACATCACTGACCAAAATATGGACCTGCCTATATTTGTTAATTTACATCACTTGGGGCCCCCCCCCCCCCGCCTCCTTGTTTATATCATCTGTCATCTGCCAGAGCTGTAATTTAGCTGAGGACAGTTAAAGAAACGTGTGTGGTCCACCATCGAAATTGACGTGGATCTCTACATCACTGGACAGGTATAGACATCATAGGACAATGACATGGGGCTTTTTTGGTTCCCCAAAACCTCTGGTCTGCTGGGGGTTGTAAGGAGGAGAGGCCCTTGTCCTCATCAACCTAAGGACAAGGCGCTTTGCCCATGGGTCCCCAACTGGCAAGGTACCCCACCCCCATGATGAGTAAATGTGACCTGGTATGGTTTGGGAGGCGAGGGCACACAATTGCCCCTCTTGTCCTGGCCTGCCAGGCTGCATGATCAGATTTGTGTCTAGTATAGAATCTGGGGGGGGGGGGAACCCCACTTTTTTGTTTTGCATTGGGTCCACCTTAAAATTTATACCAGATCTGAAAGGCCTGATATAAGTTATGGGAAGAACTTGGCATTTACACCAGGATAAGGGTCTGGTATAGATGAAGGGAAACCGTGGCCGCTCTATTTACAAATAGAACTTAGCAGTTGGGGACTGTCAAGTTACTGAAAATTGAAATACTAATTTTTTCAGTTTTTTTGCATTAGGTTGTATACTGACAGTTCACAGGCAGAGTCGGGGCATCCCCCAGGCAAATTTTGAAAAAAAGGTTTTCTTTGTTTCTATTATAAAATTTAGCAAATAAGTA